AGACTAAATTCAAGTAGTACTTTTGTCTGAAGATGGTAATAATGCTGTTCCTGAAATGACACACACTATTAATTTATTTGGATTAGGTCTTATTTTCTTGTAGCTATTCAGATTTGGTTTTATTACCATATGTTTATGATCTATAATCCAAATTGTGCCTTATGAAAAATTAAAATAGATATTCAAAGATCACTGAATTGTGTATATACTGCCAATTATATAAAGAAAATTATTTTAATTGCAGTCAAACCTTGCTATAAAAACATCACTCGGAACCTAGATGTTGTTTTAACCATGTTGCTGCTATAACTACAGTAAAAACAATTTAAAACTTGGCACAGTAGAACCTCCCTGTAAAGGACACCTATTTTGCCAATGAAAACTGTCTTTTATAGAGAAGTGTCCTCTAGCGCGAGTGCCCTCTCATGGAGTATGTTCTACTGTCTGCAGATGTTAGAATATAGAAAGAAAAACAGAGAAATGAAAGAAGAACTTTACATACTGGCAATAGGAGAAAGTGAAACCAAGAAACAACAAAGGACAATGATAGCCAACATGTACCATGTTGTTAGTCAAGACCTGACAAGTGTGGTATAGAAATCCTTAAGAATTCTTATTGAAAAAAAAAACACCTCTGAGAAGAGACTGTGTTTAAATATACATATATGCATAATAGGAAAATGTGCATATTCTACACATATATATTATTTATCAATATCTCATCAGAGGTGTTCTAATATATTTGATAATATCAATTGGCCTCTTGAGCTAGAGATTGCAAAAACACTTTGCTTATTAGGTTTTAAAGGTATATAAATATTAAAACCAAACTACCTCTCTGTAAAGGATAACACCTATTTACAGAGCCAAAGTGTCCTTTAGCAAGGGTGTCCTCTTACCGGATATGTGCAAATAGGTAAAAATTATCATTCTGGCTATGAAAACTGTCCTTCATAGAGAGGTGCTCTGTAGCAAAAGTGTCTTCTCATGGATGTTTTACTGCACAGCATGATTTTTATTTAAACCTAGAGTTAAAAACAAACTCTTTGACATCTGGCATGCTAGAATAATTCTCAATATAAATAGAAAGATGGAGTTACAAATAAAAAAAGTTTAGAAAAGATTTAATGGAGAGTATAAAGCCATCAGAATGAAATAATCAAAAGGATTTTAAGTTTGCAGGACCTATGTTCTGAGGATCATTGGGAGCTTGTTTATTGATCATAACAAAGAGATATACAGTAGAACAATCTCCCTGTAAAGGACAACAAGTTGCTGAGCCAAAGTGTCCTTTATAGGGAGAAGTGTCCTCTTACCAAAGAGGCGAAACTGCTGGGAGGGTTCACCACTGATGAGCCAAGCCCTCCCAATATATTTTTTCATCGCAGTAAGGACAGTACAAGTTTGTATTATGTATAAAAGAAACATTCATGCTTTTAAATCCTTTCATTTTATATCTTACCAAAGAGTTGCTAATTAGTAAAAGTGATCATTTTGATAATGAAAACTATTATTTATAACGAGGTGTTCTCTAGCGTGAGAGTGTAAAGAATGAAGAAAAGAGAAGTAGACAAAGGAAAGATTGGTTTAATAATTTAATAAGATGGTCATGAGTGTCAGCTCAAGGAGGTTTTACTGTACTAAAGAATGAACCCCTGTCACAATATCTAATATAAACGTTTTATATGCATAACTTTAAAAAGGTGGGGAATAAAACAGGCCCTAAGTAAGTTGAGTAACTATGTTATAGACATGTAATTAAGAGCTTTAACCCATCACATATTTTTTGGAAGTCAGTAGAGTCAATTTTCAACAGCCACTACGCTGGATCAAATTCTACATTGGGCACTTTTTCTGAAGAAAAAAAATTGCTTCAACAGTCCCCAATTCTTGCAGAAGTGCAACTCCACCAGTGAGAGCATGCAACCAAACATGACTCGGACAGAATTGTAAGTTCAAATGTCAAACTGCGTTCCACATGTGTAGACATGTGGTGGACTTACAGTAAAAGCAGTCACTAGCTCCCAACCATGATAATCATAGCCTGTATCTTACAAGAAAATAAGACCTAATCTAAATAATTTAATAGTATGTGACGTTTCGGCAACAGCATTGTCACCATCATCAGACAAAAGAATAAATGACATAAAATATCACAGCAAGTTCTTAAATAGTACTGTTATCAAGTGTTTATGCTGTTCTCAAAACGTCACACACTATTAGGTCTTATTTTCTTGTATTATAATCTATAATCCAAATTGTGCTTTATCATGGCCTGTATCATGTGTATTTGGGATATATATCCCCTACACACAATTAGTTAAATATATTTTATGTAAAACAAACTTGTTTATAACTTTAACTTTAAAATACAGTGAAACCATGTTATTACAGCTGCTTCTATAACAGCAACTTGGGGCGGTAAGATTAAACTGAAACTGAAAATAAACTCTTAAACTTTATCTCTTATCCTTAATTGATAGTATCTAGGATGATTAGACACAATGTCAACATCATAATTCTAATTTTTAAATTTCAATCCTGTCTTATTCGTGGTTATAACAACAGCATGAATATAACAACATAAAATCTAGGTCCCAAGTGAAGTTGTTATAGCAAGGTTTGACTGTATAGTAGAACCTCCCTGTAAAGGACACCTAATTGCAGAGCCAAAGTGTCCTTTAGGGAGAGGTTTCCTCTTACCTGAGAGTTGCTAAATTGCAAAATTGGTAATTTTGCAAATGAAAACTATCCTTTGTGAAGAGGTGTCCCCTAGCGGGGTGTCCGCTAAAGGGAAGTTTTACTGTGTATACTAGTAAAAATATAATTTTAGTATGATAAAGCACAATTTGGATTATAGATACAAGAAAATAAGACCTAATCCAAATAATTTAATAGTATGTGACGTTCTTGTATCTATATTTTAGTATGAAAACACTTGGTTTTATATTTACTCATTTTAAATTTAAAAAAACTTGGGTTACACACTATAACAACATCTGTCTAGCAAGTTCACACATGAACCTTACTGACCAATCAACACCAGCAGGTATACCAGCTGTCTGTCACCACATATCTATACAGCACCCACTTGTCCGCATGAACAGTGGCAGAAAGTGCATGATTCACTAAGAGTGTCACACAGAGAGAGAATTGAACAGACATCATGTAGTTCCATCTTTGAAACTGATATCAGCAGTCATCATGGAATATCATTTCAAATCTCCACACATTATTGACTGTATTGACTCATCCATTGATGAGCTCTACTCTTCCCCGGCAGAGACCATCAAAAGTTTCAAGCTTTACAAGCTTTATACCTTCTTCTTCTTCTTCTTTCTTATCTCCATACTGGGCTTTATACCTTAATATGATTGAGTGGAGATAAGAAAGAAGAATATTTCATATCTCCTAATTCCTGACAACTCTTTTGCACCCATGAACAAAACTTAAGGAAGTGGAAAGTCTTTTTTGTTGCTGGTTATCTATTTTTTTTTTAAGGAAAGGCAATTTTGTTCACATTTGGTTATCTCATGTTTTCAATTAAGGTCACTATATATCAAATATCTTTCAGAGTTATTATTTAATTCCTGATATACATGCTTAAAGGTACAAATTCCTTTAATTTTGTCTGTGAGTGTATCTTTCAGAGTTATTGTCTAAATCCCAATATACATGCTTAAAGGTACAACTTCCTTGTGAGTGTAGAAAATGGAACCAATCCATCCTTGGTCTACCTCTCCATTTTCCGAGGTGTATCCCTCCAGTATGGTCAACAGATGAGTTCCTAATGATCCTTATCTTACAAACTTCCATTTCTTTTTGATTATATTATTTAGAAGACTTTGTGCTCTCCATTAAATATTATCCAAACTTCTTTGTTTGTTTCACCGTATTTATCCATTTTAAATAGAGATTTTTTTCAAAATACCAGATATCTAAAGATTTTGTTTTTCATCCTTGTTCTTTAGTCATTGTTCAAGCTTCAAACTGAAAACTAACTCAATAAAGCACAATTTGGATTATAGATACAAGAAAATAAGACCTTATCCAAAAAAATTAATAGCGTGTAACATTTTGGTAACAACGCTGTTACTGAAACGTCACACACTGTTATTTTATTTGTATTTGGTCTTATTTTCTTGTATGAAAACAAACTCTTTAATTCAACCCCCCATCAAGAGAAAAATACATCCTGTTGAATTAAAGTAGGTGTTAAATTATAGTCAGAGTTGGTTGGCTTAGAGAGAGAGATTATGCTGTATGTATAGAAACATATTAGGGACTATTCGAAACTATTATAGACGCGTATGATTCTTTTGAAAATTAAACCATTTCTACTGTCCTTACTGCAATGGAAAAATTAAAGGGAGGGCCTGGCTCATCAGTGGTGAACCCTCCCAGCGGTTTCGCCAGTTTAATCTACCATACTGCTGTTATTTTGCATTTTTGGAAATTCCTTTTATAGTCATACTGATGATAGACTCTTGGAATGGGTATTTTAGATTAACTATGGACATAAGCTTTGAGGACAGTAGAATTACATACAATTATAAATCTATAATATGCTTTGAGCAATCGCTCTTCCGCAAACTTCAAATTGAGTCTTTTATTGAATATCCATAACAGATGGTACACTGATGCATCATATTAAGGACTATGTTATAGACCATCCAAATACTATATAATATCCCATAATAATTTTATATATAAAATAATTATATGTATTTCTACTATTCTTATATAAAGCTTGTCATATAGTTCATTTAAAATACCTTTTTCAAGAGTTTAGCTTCGCTATCAGTATAAAAGGAAAACAGCCCAATACAATATTACAGCAGTATGGTAGATTAAACTGGTGAAACTGCTTGGAGGGTTCATCACTGATGAGCCAGGCCCTCCCATTATTTTATCACTAGCCGAATGACCCAGGCAACGCCCGTGTTTTACCCGATTGAATGTTTTGATTCAAATACTATTTGTTACAATTATAAATTGTGGTCATGTGGCCTAGTGGTCATGGCATCTGCCCGGTAAGCGGAAGGTCGTGGGTTCGATTCCCATCCATTGACACTTTTTTTATTTTATCCATTCTGACCAAAATCTATCCGTGAACTTCACACAGACAGAATAAGGCAATTATATAAGTAGATTGCAGTAAAGGCACTAGAAAAATTATTTTATTTTTAAAATAGGCATCAAAAATAGTTTAAACTTCTTATAAACGATGGGCACTAATGAATCATGTTAAAATAATTTAAATCAATATAAATAATATGATATTTACACAGATCCCCAAGGATCAATATTGTTTACCACTCATAATCAAATTAGAAAATTGTATTTTTACACAGGTGAAAAAAGGGAGTGGGATTTGGAAGTTGAGAATTAAGAGGGATAAACACTGCATAACTTCTTACCTCCCATATTAGAAAAATCAAAAAGCTAACTTCCAATCAGCAATCTAAACAATAAAGGAGCCCATAAAGATGTATGTTCTACCATAAGATGAATACATATTTAAAAAATATATATATATTTTAAAGACTATTTTTAAGAGAGATTCTGAAAAATAAAATCCCTATTAAGTATAATATCCATTTTTATCAGGTGTAATTAGGTTAAAAAAAAAAACTTAGGGATTAATAAACGGACGCTTTTAAAAGAAAATATTTTCCTTTATGTTTTAGCGATTGTTTATTGATCCTTAAGCCAAAAATATTCTTGAGTGATTTTTTTTTTAATTTAGCTTTAAATCGTAATATTTGGTACTTTAACAAAATGCAACCAAAAATCTTAGCTTTTAGCATATAAATAATATAATGTAAATTATACATTTTACTGTAAAATTACCTTTAATGGTAATAATATATATCAACTGAATATTAAAAATTAAAAAATATATTATTTATTATATTTATAAAATAAAAAGAAAAGCCGAATTATAAAACATCATAGTAGCAGACGACCATGCTACTTTTAAAATCAACAGTACAATTAATGATGATATAAGTTCCCAAAGTAATAGGAGCTCAAAATGAATTCATAGAAAAAATCGCTTTCTGAAAAATGCATTAAAATATATAGGACTATAACGTGTAAAAATAAATAAAAATAATGTATGAATTATTGATTTATTTTGATAATACTTTCAAAATAATTTATATTTTCATAATAATAAATTGAATTTTGAACCTAGTTTAAATTTTTAAATGTTGACTATGACATATCAAATATTTAGAGGAAGGTTCAAATATGTTATAATCTAGGCTAACATGTAATCTGTTAGGAAACTATTAATAATGATGGTGATGACAATAATAATATCTAAATATTAAAATGTGATGTATATATGTTAGTAAGAGAGTAATCTATTTATATTTCCTTAGGAAGTCATTATTTATAGGTTTTTCACTTTTAAAACAACATCTACACTTTGATTGAAATGTATTTTACATTTTAATTACAATATTTTACACTTTATTGAAAGAATTTACATTATAATATCATTTTATACTTTAATAACATTTTCATTTTTAATCGATATTTTCGATTTTTAAAAATATCTTACCAATTGGCTATTTTTATATTTTATCGAAATATTTTATTTCAATTGAAATTGGTCTATATCAGATATGTTTATATCCATTTTAATCAAGCATTAGAAAGAAAGTATTTGAGATTTTCTCAAATTGTTCAATATGAAGTTAATATTTAATATTTCTCGCTTCAAGCTAATTCCCACCTTAAAATTCAGCAATTTTCAACTTTTATTTCAAATAGCTTCTCAGGTTGAATTAAGGCATCACACATGTAAGCATTTTGGTTTAGATATTTTATAATCACAAGTATTACAAACCACAATGTTCTAGTTAATATAATTTCATTCAAAATTGAATATATTTATTAGTTTTGAAAGGAAATAATAGTAGCTGAATTCCGAAGCACTCAAAGAAAATGATAATTCACGTGATGTTTACTTTGGACCTCTAAAAATATATTTTAAAAACGCAGTGCTGTCTCAAATGGCTTAAGGTTAAGCTGGTAAGGATCTTATAGTGCGAATATAAAAAAAAAATAACGCCATATTAAGCAGTGATAAACTTTATTTTAGAATATTTCAAATGCTTTAATTCTAATTATAAAATGTGTGGATATAAAAATGTTTATAAAATACACCAATATAATTTTTTTAAGTATTCCAATAAAAACCAGAATATTAATAATAGCATAAATTTGTTAGAATATTTATAAAATCGAAAATAACGATTAAAATAAGGATGTTATTAAGACGTGGAATTTTGTTATTAAAATGTAAAATTAATATAAAGCAATAACATGCCATCTATACATAGGAAATGAGAGTATTTAAGCACAAATGTTTCTTTTTACATAAATCAAACGTCTACTGTCCTTATTGCAATGAAAAATATTGGGAGGGCTTGGCTCATCTGTGGTGAATTATTCTAGCGGTTTCGCAAATTAATCTACCAAATTAATGATTTTTAAGTTAACCAGGTATTTAAGGAGAAAGAGAGATTGACCAAAAGTATACCCATATGTTTTAATGAGTGGAGTTGTTGACTTTGCTTAGAATTTTTAATGAAACTGATTCCAAGAATTAATAATTAAACATTATATTTATTGATTTACAAGAGAGAGAACAAAATATAAAAGAGAAACTAATATTGAACAAAGAAACTTTTATTCTGTTTCGGTTAGCGCCTATTTACCTGTAAGCTTACACACACTCTGTGGTAACAATTAATTAATATACATATATAACAGGAGTCGATATCGTCGCAGTAGGTTCTTTATCCAATTTGCAGTCATGGGGCCAGAGAGGGAGGCACTAGCCTGAAGATAAAAGAAGACCACACTCATAGGAGCATGATTACCTCGGTTTATAGAGCGACAGCACCCGGGAAGGTGAAACAGACAAAGAGGGAGTCTTGGGATCGCTGGTCAATCTGGCAGGATGGCGACCTAACTGCATTTGACTTATGGTCCCTTCTGGGCCCAGAAACAACCTAGCTTCTATGCTAATAATAAGGTCAGAGAAGGCGGACTTTGTAGAGCCTCCATGTCCAATAAAGAACTGGCATGATCAAAATGTTTACATCCTGCCTTAGCTTCTTAGACAATGTTAACGACCTGTTTTGACCTTTCTGAGTATCGCACTGTTTCCGGTGGTACATCTTATTTACGCCATTTTTGAGTAACATAATGTGACGTGTACTGTTTCCAGGCAATATTTATTCTTTATAAATCATAATCATTAATAATCATAATCATAAATCATCAATTAAATGATGATAAATCAATGATAAATTATAATCATAAATTAAAAATGAGTTTGTCGTCATTAAAAGATTGCTACCTAGGCCGCTCTTTTCTTCTTCTTTTTTTTTTTTTCAAGGAAATTATTTAGAATTGTGTTTTACAGTTTTTTTTCCTTCCCTGATGATTAACAACTCATTCAACAATGAAAAGAAGTAGCTTTCAAATGAGATTCGATGATTAATCATCGAAAAGGTGTGTGTTACTGACGAATCAGTCACAAAGGTAGCAGCAGATCTGTACCTGAAGAGGACAACTGTAGTAGAAAAATTTAAAACGCGCGGGAAACCAGCTAAAATAAGTATTAAATAGCTTTTTAAAATTTCAAAATTAGAGCCCTCTTGTATTTATGCGCCTTATTAATCTTTTTATCATTTCAAATGATAAATGGGTTGTCCTTTTAATTATAATTTATTTTTGGATATATGAAATGTCATTGGGAGTTAAATCCAGAGAATATAGAGGTTGGAATATATTTTTTTTGAATAATTGGATTTTTGAACAGAAAATTCAAAACGGAAATTATAGTTTGTGGACAGTCATTTATCAATGTGAAAAACAATCTTTGTTTTCTATTTCTCTGGCCTTTTTCTCACAAACAGACTCCTATAATTCGCCGAAAAACACCCAAAAAAATTTCTTGGTTAATAATTTCCCATAAAAAAAAAAAAAGAACTCTTTAGAGATAAGATCCACAGTACCATGTTACAAGTCACTCATTAATTTTAGATTTACCCAGCCTAACTTTCTATTGGCTTTTGGATCAACTTGTTTGATCTACAACCTTGATTGCCATTTTGTTTCTGGGTCATGTATATTGTCACAGCCGACATAGACTCATGTAAATATTTTCATTAATAATTTAACTTGATTTAACAAATCAAGGTTGATTAATTTATTCTTTGTTAACATTGTGCAGCCAGGGCGCTCGCGTCGTCACGTGACCTCGCGCCGACGTTCTTCATTATGTTTTTTGTCACCTTACCAAAATAAAGCGTTAGTTTTTTGATGCGAACTCGTTCTGGTTTATTCTACGATACAATGGAAACCGCTGAACAAAAAACCATCTACATCTCAAGGTGTAACAAGTGGTGGAGATGCTGGGTAACAAAATATATATTTAGCAATTTAATTGCTCTTTTTCATAAATTCGAGGTCGTTTCTCACCAACTCTCTATAAGTCTCCATAATAAGCTGCTGTCGTTGATTGGCTATCCAGGTGGCACCAGGATGGTGCAAAGACCTTCCCACAATGCACCATCTGCAGAACCAAAGAGCTCTCACCAGACCACCTCTAGGAATGTATGGGAGACTCAAGACAGGACCTATATTCCAACCCTACCAAGATTGTAAATTAAATCCATGAATTTAGTCTCCATGACCTTATATAATTATATACACAATGGGATAATAATAATAATAAATAATCAACTCTAGGCAAACACTGCGTACCTTTTATTTTGTTTATGTTCCTCTGTCAAAACTTTAGGGGTGAAATTTGAATAAGTCCTTATTATAGAATAGGTTTTAACGCTTTGCCAAATGTTTTGATTTTTGTTCGCTCCTGACGAGGACAAAATATTTTTTGTCGAAACGTCGAGACAATAAAAAGATTTACTGGTCGAAGTATCTTTAATTTTGAAGAATTATGAGTGCCTGCCAGGCAGTCTCTGTCTTTATGATAAGTCCTTATCATGTTGGTGTCTTTGATTACACATTTGACACATTTGACC